CTACACTACACGTAAATATTTAATGAAATTCATCATTGTTTCCATGTTCGACGCTAAAAACTATTTTAACATAATTTTAGACCAATCTCCATGTAGGCGTAGACAAAATTAATTGCTCGGTGTCTGTCTGTCACAGTAGTTCTTGTATTTCGCGGATGTGGTTGAAATTTCACAAAGTAATTAGTAACAAAATGCGGTTAACCAAATACAGACAGATGAAAGGTTAAATATTAATATTAGTATTTTTAACTGGGGCTTGTACTCCCTGATACTAAGGAGGTTTAAATTTTTTAATTTAAAATTCGTGTTTGTTTGGAGTGGTTCAGGATAGCAATGCAGGACTAAACAAAACTATTGGTAAATCCAATTGTACATACCTTAATTGCATTAAAAAGTTACGTATAACATGATTATTCATAAATTTCTTAAAGTAGTTTAAGTATAATAACGCATAGGCGTCAATTTTACGCTTGGCATAATGGGCATTGAGCGATACGCGCTCTCTATACCTTGCTTATTTGTACTCTAAGTTCTGAATCTCTTTCTCTATCTCTTTATCTATTGTTCTAAGAGGTCCATTAATTAAATTACTTTATTATATACTCTTTGTAGGGGTCATAAATTTGCAAAGTAACAAATCCAAATGGATTTTTCGAGCTTTGAAGGGTTAAATACAGACACGTTTTCCGATAATTTTATGTCAAACTTCAATTAAAAAAAGTTTTGAAAATCCAAAAGTGCACGACTCATAATGCTCATATGATAGTGAAAAAAATAAAAATTTGTAAATTTTAGTTCTATTCGTCAAAGAGTTCCAGTAGCAGTCATCAAAGTCCACCTTCAAGTCACTTCGTCAAGTCCGGAAGTAAGGTCTATTTAAAAATGAAGAAACGAGCTCAAACTCGGCACATCTAGTTCTCCTCGTCGAGGAGTTCCAGTGACATTCATCGAAGTACCTACACTTTCAGGTCACTCTATCAAGTCCGGAGGCAGAAATGGATTAAATGTCGACTGCGCCCTAGGCTAGCCTAGCACCTAATCGGCGCCCCTCTAGGGGCCATATTATATCTATTATAAATTAAATATACTCATTTTGCAAATAAACTATATTATAATTTGTAGTATAGTTTAATAATTGCAAAATAATTAGTATACTAGTACCATTAACAAGGGGGCATCAATGCAAAATGTAATTTAAGAGTAATCAAATACGACGATTTTTTTTGTTTAAAAACTTCCGCGCACTCTTTTTTAACCTTGCGCTCCGAGGCACGTGCCTTAAGGATACTCGGCCTGTATCCGGAAATAAGGTCTCATCATAACTAACAAAACAAGCCCAAACTCAGCACACCTATTACTATTATTACTCTTCGAGAAGTTCCAGTAGCATTTACCGAAGTACACCTTTAGGTCTCCATAAAGTCCAAGACGTATAGGTATATTTATAAGGTATGTGAGGGTAATATGGTCACCTTAAGCTTTGCCGCCTTATAAAACCAAAACTAGCAGGAGGACAGAGACAAAAACACAAAGTCGTATACTATAACTAAGATGTTAAGAAAAAAAAATACAAAATAGCAAACAAACTTTGGCAATAATTGAGAACACTTTGAAAAATTAACTTAAAGAAATTAATACACTACACAATACTAAAATCGACTCAAATATTTACTATAATTTCAACAATCAAAATGACGTCGATAAAACAGCGCCTTTTTGACCCTTTATTATTTGATTGACTGATGAAGAGCTATCGTCGTATGCAAACAAGGCTGTTGTTTTTGAGTTATGAGAAAGTGACCATATTAACCGGCTGACCATATTACCCTCACGTACTATATATAAATTCTGCGTACATTTAGCGAAACAAAATATTGTAATAATATCTGTGATTATAAAAATAATAATAATATCTTACCTTGGTCATGCATGTATCAAATTTGGTTTTAAGAATATTTTGTATTTCTAAAGCGATCGATATTTTTCAGCACGAACTGCTGTAAACAAACGACCACTCACGACAGCGGCCGGAGGAAAAAAGTACTCTGTGGCCGGGAGTAAGTTAAAGTGTATTTAGTAAAATAAATTAATACAAGGCTGCTCAAAACACCTAAAATTTCGCCATTTCTCAGCCGAAAAAAAATAATTATATTTAAATAAAACAAAATTAAACTGCTATTTACATTCCATGGCTTCCCACATGATAGATGAAGAGTTTAAAAATAGATTGAGTTGAACAATTGATATTTTCAAAAGTTATCGTGTTTACGCCTTTGTATATGTTCAATATGATTGGTAGATAAGATTTCATGCGACAAAACGTTTTAATCTTGATTTTTAGGCGCTAGTAGAACATACCTACGCATTGCGCTTAAGGCATGCAATAGAGTGAACGATTCTCCTATACCATGTCTACATATAATCAAACGCATCATTGTTTCCATGTTCGACGCTAAAAACTATTATAACATAATTTCAAACCTATCAGCGTTGACAAAAGTAATTGTTTGGCTTCAGTACTAAATTCAACAAAACAGAATGTCACTTCGGAGTCTGTCTGTCACAGTAGTACTTGTGTTTCGCGGAGATGGTTGAAATTCCACAGAGTAATTAGTAACAAAATGCGGTTAACCAACGTAAAGGTTAAACATAGTAAATTTTAACTGGGGCTTGTACTCCCTGAAACTTAGAACATTTTAACTAACCCTAATTTTTTTATACTCTCAATGATATTAACATTACTAAATTTCCTCCTCTGCTCTTGGTAAGCTTTAAATGGTTGTGTTACATAGCTGTGGTTCACAATAGTACTCTAAATAACAATATAGAGTGTTGTAGTTATATATATATATACATATATATATATATATATATATATATATATATATATATATATATATATATATATGTTTAGGCACAAACATGGTCATCTGAAACGGCAACCAATCGCGTTCGACTAAGTGCATCACCCGATGGTGTCAAGATGAGGTAAACGCCGCCGGGGGGGCAGTGTGCAGGCTCCCGTGATTCCGGCCGTGGGCTAAGTCAGTAGCTTGACAGTGGCGGTGCGGTCGATTAGCGTATTTTGGTGACCGCTGCATCTATTACGCGCGACCAGTTTTTGGGTTTTATGGTCTAGAATTTGAGTCTTTGGGTGCGTTAATTTACTATTGGAGTATTTCGCTTCTAGTTTTGGTTATCTTTAGTGCATTCACGCGATAACGAAGCGGCAATATTTTGATTGATTAACCTAAATTCGTTGGCAAGTAATTTACGTAAATTGTATAGTGATTGCCGGTTGAAGTGCTTGACAATATTATTTTGCGTCGAAGAGTTGCTTGTGGCATTCGATGTAACTCGGATATATTTTCCTGTGTCGGTTAAAACGCTAAAATTTGTGCCAGAGAGAAACAGTGTTTGTATTAGATTATAGATTTGTGCTAAAAGACGCTAGACTTTGAGTGACATCGGGGTGACGCCACTGCAAGATACCACACCGTGTGGCGGTGCCGGAGTCAGGGCTGCTGCCGCTTAAAAGGGTTAAGTCAGGTTTCAAATTTACACACCACTAAATACCACTTACATACACTACACCTACCACCTGACCGAACCTTGTGGCCAGTCATCGCTTCGGAACCAGGTACGTACTATTTATTTACCTAGCCTTATATCTATTGTGTAAAATAATAAGTCTCCATAGGCCGTTGGGCCCCACCCTTAGTTGTCCGTCGATGGGATTACGCATGGGCCCTAGTCCCGTCAACCTTTGTTGGGGCAGCTAGGGGCTTGTACATTATTGGTAGCAGAGCGTAGTTGATTGTTTCTACAATCACGCCCGGCCATAATACGTAATAATAAAAATATTTTCTTTGTTGTTTGCTTCCTTTGTTTGTTAGCGGATAGGTGGGTAGATTAACCACGCCCGTTAGGATGCGCAAGCAGGAGTTTGTTAGGGCTAGGTACGCGTCGGGTAGGTAGATGGTTGTTATCACGTAATCGGATAATTATCGTTGTCGTATAATTATAGTAGATTAATTGTCAAAGGCTCGATTGTCTGACCGAGGCATTTTTGCTGATCGACTGTGGTGTGTACCTTTATTTGTATTGTAATTTGTATTTAATTTAATAAATAGTAATTTGTATTTGTGTAACTTGTATTCAACTTGATTTGATAGTAATTGTATTTGTTATTTGTCATTTCATCTGCTGTTGTTTATTTTACAGCATCTTTGATAACTGTATTAATATTTTTTCTATTTTTAACTTCTATTTTTTTTTGTTTTTTTTTTCTTTGTTTTATTTTTACTTTTTTTTATTACAAATTTCTGCTTCTGCCTTACTATACAAGTACTCATTATGAGATTTAATACATATAGCATTTATATGGTTGGTTTGGTTACATTAATAAGATTATACTAATAACGATAAAATAATGCTAATTTCTTATTTGCTTAAGGCTATACTACTGGCTGCATTAATATTATTTATATTGATTTATAAACTATTACTGCAGTTCGATTACTTATTATAATTATTGCTATTTTAAAGAATTAATATTTCTTGCCCTATTATAATTGCTTCTACCAACTGTTTATTCGGCTATAGTTATCTACTGCTACAACTATATACATATACATACACATATATACATATAAATTATATTAATTTTTTTTCCATTTTCCTTAGGCTGATATATTTTTGACCCATTTTCTTGTAGTACTTTTCTCAAACACCTTTCGGCGTATTCAAGAAAATGGGTCCGACTGTCATTGTCATTGACCGCCCTACACAGATTGTCCTCTGTTATCGTAAAGCCCACTCTGTGTTCGCAACAAAGTCTTAGAGTCGCGTGTCTATGGCAATCTATTAGAATATGTTCAATTGTCTGTGGTGTAACGTGGTCGCATTTACAGTGTGGGCTCTGGGCTAACTTAAATTTATGCAGATATGCTTTGAAGCCTCCGTGACCCGTAAAAATTTGACACATAAAGTTGTTTATTTTATTCTTCTTTACTGTTGCATATGGCTGGATCACGTTTGGGAAGAACTTCTTCGTGACCGGTCCGGTATCTGATGTGGTATAAATTTCTTGCCAGGTCTGTAAAGTGTTATCCCTGATGTAGCGCTTTGCGAAGGACAGAGGGAAGCAGTCGTAGACAGGCGTCCGTTTGCATGTTTCCGCAGCCGATTTAGCCAGTTCATCAGCTCTTTCATTTCCCGGAATGCCACAATGGGCTTTGATCCAAAATAATCCTATTTTTCCTTGTTTCTTTTCTATTTCCGAGATACGGTCCAAGATCTCTGCTGCTATAGGGTGTAAGGTGTTTGGATTGGTGAGGCATTCTAACGCTGATCGTGAGTCACTTAAGATGTTTGCCTTTTTAAGTGATTGTCTACTTAACATAATTTCTGTAGCTTTTAAGATGGCTGCAAGCTCTGCTTGGCAGACACTGCAGTGGCTCCCCAGTTTTAATTTAGCCTTATGTATTTCTGCTCCATCCTTCCAGCAAGTGATAGCAGCGCCTACTTTCCCTGCGATTTTACTGCCATCTGTGTATATACATGGCCAGTTGTTTTCGATGGCGTTTATGTCAGTTTCTGATGTAATCATCCCGTATTGTCGACTTATCTTATCTGCTGGGTGTGGTAGCGTGTAAGGGCTTATGTGTTTAGCTAGTTTCCTGCCAGGTAAATGAGCAATAGGTTTCCCCCGTTTTATCGAGTAGATTTCGGCATTTTCTCGAGCTCTTAAGTCTAAGGGGAGAATTCTGGCCAGAGTTGTGCAGGATACTAAAGATGCCGTACGGTGTGCCTTGCTTATCATTATAGTGAAAATTCTAGTGATTCTGTCAAGCCTGACTTTTATTTGCTTACTTGCTGTTGAACCCCATGCTCCTGCCGCATATAACACTGTAGGTTCTACTACCGTAATGTATATCGTTCTTAGAATTTCAGGATTCAGACTCCAGTTAGCTCTTGCTGCTCTTGAGTTTTTCTTGTAGAGTTGGGTGGCCTTTTCCGTTGCAGTATCTATATGTTTTATAAAATTAAGGTTTGCATCAATCGTTAGTCCAAGGATTGTTATACTTTCTGAAAACATTATTGTTGTGTTATCAAGGAACAATTTCGGTGTGTCATATTTTAGTTTTCTAGTCAAGAAAATTGCTTGGGTTTTCTGAGGCTCCAGTTTCATTTTTCGCGTTTTTGTCCATGCAAGAATGTGATCAAGTGCTGTGTTTAGTTCGTACTCTAGATCCTTTGCTGTTTTCCCTTTTGCTATGACCAATATGTCATCTGCATACGCCTGTATGTGGGTACCTAGATCTTCTATCTCCCTTAGTAGTGGGTCAAGTAAGAGGTTCCACAGCAAAGGTCCGCAGGTTGACCCTTGTATACACCCCTTGTTAGTTTGTTGCATTACCTCGGTGCCTGCATACGTTATTTTTACTTGCCTATCAGTGAGATAACTATTAATTAATCTGCATACTGATCTGTCGACTTTTTTCCTTTCGAGCTCAATTATCATTGCAGGCCACCAAGCGTTATCAAAAGCTCCTTCGATATCGATGGAGACAAGAGCGACAATTTCTCTATTCTTTAATCCTTGCCTGACAATCTCGAGGGCGTCTCATAGGGCGTCCTCAGTCCCTCTCTGTGAGAGAAACCCATATGGCCTACTACTCATTTTACTTTCTGAGCCGAGCTGCCATGTCATACGGTTAACAAATAATTTTTCTAACACCTTACCCAGTACAGGTAGGAGTCCTATTGGCCGGTAAGATTTAGCTAGTGTATAGTTCTCCTTGTTCGCCTTCGGGATGATTTTTATGATAGCATTTTTCCAAATCCGCGGGAAATACCCCAGGGTTAGGCATCTATTGTAGATGGCTGATAGTACTTGCGGTGCCGTCATATATGCCCTGAAACATATATCAGCGGTTAGTCCATCTTCTCCTGGTGATTTCTTTGGGCTCATACTACTGAAGACGTTATCGATCTCAGTGAGTGTAAAAGGTATCACAGGTTCATCATCTGAGATGCTCAATAGGTGTTTCCTAATTACACTAGATCTGTTTCTAATTGCCGTATGTTGGGGCTCATCAGTTGTGATTTCGTCGATCGAATAAAATGTTTCAGCTAAGAGCTGGGCAGATTTGTCCGGGGTTACAAATTCCACTTTCCGGAGTCGCTCTTAAAAGTGAGTCTTCAGGAGTTTTACTGGATTTGCGTATTATTCTGTAGATACCCTGCCACAAATTCTCTTTATCCTGTCTGGAACAAAACTCCTCCCAACTTGCTGTCATCGTTTCGGTTAATAGGTTTTTATATTCAGCTTTGGCTGTAATTTATTCCTCGATTACGATTGGTCTTCTCCTTTGGTTTTCAAATCTTATCTTTCTTCTTTTCCTAGTTACGTCTTTTTTCTTTTCACTGAGTTCTTTAGTCCACCAAGGTGTTTTTGTGGGTACTCTCTTAGCAATATTGGGAATCGTTTTGTTATATGACCTTTGTATGCATTCACTGTATAGTTTTGCAAGGATTTCCATGGATTCTATGGATTCTGTGGTTAATAATTTGTCCTCGGTTATATTTACGGAGCGTGAACGCACGCTGAATACCCTCCAATCGTTGGGAGTGAACAGCATATACAGGGTTCCATACCACGCTAGCATGCTTCAAGTTACTTCGGATTAAAACATTGTATAATATTTTATGGGTGCAATTTAAACGGAAACCCGCAGTACTTCGTCTAACAAAATCATGTATTTTCGAGGATTTATTTAAAATGTTATTAATATGTGAAGTAAATTTAAGGTGCTAGTCTACTGTTACACCTAAGTCTCTTATTTCTTCTACTTCAGTTGATGTTGAGCCGTTAATTTTATGGGATGGGGAATGATTTTTCTTTTTTGTAAATTTAATATGGTAGCATTTATCAACGTTCAAGGTCATAAAGCTTGATTCACACCATGTGGATAAGTTTCATGTCATGGGAAGAATTGACTACCCTGTAAATTTTTAAATGATCCGAAAATAGGCTGAATTTACAATTTATTATGTGCATCGCTATATCGTCGATAAATATAAGAAATAGTATTGGGTCTAAGTGAGAGCACTGTCGGAGTCCTGACGATGCAAAATATACATCTGACTCAAAGCCCCCAACAGCAACAAATTGGGGTCTCATACTAAGGTAAGACCTAAACCAGTGAAGCAAACTTACATGTATCCCTTTTATTCGCAATTTCATTAAAAGTTATGCGTGATTTACTTTATCAAAAGCACTGGTAAAATTTGTGTATATAGCATCAATTTGACTTTCACTATCCACCCCCCAGTGCAATTTTAGAAATATATTAGACCAAATTGGTCTGTGTTGAGCGACCCCTGCGGAACTCATGCTGGTACTCGGATAGTGAAATATGTATGTGGCTAATAGTTAGTAGATTAATCAGAGACTCAAACAATTAGAAAAAGTAGACAAAATGGAAATCGGCCGGTAGTTTTTATGTTGCTTGTTTCGCCTTTCTTGTATACAGGTACTATTTTTTCTTTTTTCCATTCCTCGGGGAACTCACCATCTCTGAGCAAACAATTAAAGATCATAGTTAATAGTTGAAACAAAAAGGTTCCACAGATCTTTATGAATGGAGGAGGTATTTTATCAGGACCGGCTCCTCTCTGTATGTCCTAAATGTTTAATTGCTCTCAAGTTAAGTAAGTGGCGATAAATCTTCAAAGTTGTGTATTTGTTTTTTTCAATATTTGAAGCGAACGTGGAAGCAAAATGTTTGGTGAAAAGAGTGGCCATCTCAGAACCAGATTCTGCGATGGAATCGTTTAATTACAGTTTTGAGGGAAGAGTTGACTGGTTGCTACGTTTGTCTTTAATGTATTGCCAAAAAAGATTTCACGTTACGCAATATTCCATTCTCAATATTTGTCTTATAGTTACTATAGCACTTGTCTCTAAGCTTGTAACAGCGGCTCTGTAAGAGATCATGTTCTAATTTATCACGTTGATTATCATATTTCCGATATCTGTTGTGTGGGTGCGGCTAAACCATTTGGGTTATTTACTCGTGGTAGGACGGCGCGGCGCTTGAGGACAGACCTGTCAATAATTAAACTTAGTTCATTATAGAATTTTGTAACCATTTCATTGACATTGCTACAGCTCGAAAACATTATGGATTAGTTCATAACGTTATCAACCAACGATTTAACTGGTGGAGGTAAATATATCGCGCAAATGGGTAGCCATTATAGCGAGGTAATGTTGCCAATTTTTATTTGCACCGATACCCATTAATCAGCACAGTTACTTTCCCATCGCTCAACTCGAGCGGATGGAATGTTTCGTAATACAAACTCCTCCGCTATCCATTTTAGTGCATTGGAACATACACCATCCCTACGGTAAACCTTATATCTAGAATCGAAAATTTCACTGCTAGCCATATCTAGATTCAACCAAGTCTCCGACTGTAACGTCGTAATTATTTGCCAAGATGTTTCTAACACGTCAATTGTTTTCGTTCACAGACCACGCACGTATTGATAGTATATTCCAAAGGTGCCTCATACGTGTATTATCAGGATCTTTGTTGAGTAGAGGTTATCGAATCAAGACTCTCAATACTTCGAATAAGGATGGCTGGGCTGTACTAATGTCTGCGTAAGGAGATGCGTCCATTACGAACCCATACGAAATTGAAATCATCCTTCTTGGCCATCAGGCAAGCTGCTGCGTGCAGGGATTGATAGCTAGTAGTAAGTGCTCAGAGACAAGCACAGGCTTTAGTGGACCCTTCATACCAAGATGTTGGGTTGAGAGCTTTTCCTTTGGGTTACTTTTGTTGAATTTGGCAACAGCAGCCAACATGGCATCTCGATATCGGGGCTGGGGAGCTTAGCAATAACCATGCGAGGCCGGTCACTGTCCTTTTTTAGCTTAGCAACTCGTGTTACGTGATGAATATCTTCATCTCCAATATGGCAGTCAACGGTTTTGCTATTTGGGTTAAATAGGTTGACAGATTTCCCGTTTTATGTTTTGGTACGCCATTTATTTCTAAATTCGACTCTCTAATATTCTGCTCCGCCAGATTGAGTCTTTGGGACAGAACTTTGTCACTTGATTGCAGCGTTTCCTTGTCTTTTTGCAGCCCTGTTAAAATAGCCGACTTTTCTGCAGTTCAGCCCTCATTTCCTCAAATTGCCTGTTAAAGTAAGCAATGGACTCACTGAATTCCGTTATGCGCTCATTTATCGTTCGAAGTTGTAAAGTTACCAATTTTTTTATCTTTTCTTCGATATTGCATAACAATTCCTCACTAAGTACTCGCCACAGTGAATCCTCCGTCACATAACGGTCATTAACTGGAACAGACTATTATTGCTAGCGAGCTCTGATGGTAACGTTGCTGGCTTCACATGATGTTTCATCAAGTACGCTGACGTTACTGGGGCCCGGCTGAGTGGATTGAAGTGAATGACGCAACGGTGAGTTCATGTTATCAGTTTTTGGTTGCTTACTATGACATTCTGGATATTTCTAGCTGTGTTTTATTTCTTAGTTCATCAGATTAAATCTTTTTAAGCCAATATTGGCGCATAAAAGGTTGTATTTAGATGATCAAGCTAAGCACACCAGAAACTCTCTATTAGTTATGTTGTGACGGCATCCAGAGCATTTATTTCCAACCATATCTAATAAGCAAGGCTTCAAGGTGCGCTTAAACGTTGCGGATGAATAAAGCGTTAGCGATAAAAGCGCTGCGCTGTACGTCACCTACACTGTGCGATGCGTATGTTTGCTTAGATGCGAGCCGGCCGCGAGTTGCCTTAGGTCAGGGACGGCAATTAGCAAGCGATTATTTTGAAAATGTTTATTGCTATTACTCAATACAATCTAGGTGGGATTTCACTTGTCCAATGGCGTTATTACAACGCTTGCACTTTATGCTATCGAAACGTATCTAACATCATGGTAAAACTTTAATTCTTATACTGATTTTGAATTAAAAATTGAGGGGCAGTTACATATACATATAGGGCATATACATGTTGTTACTTATCGGATCACTGCCATTAGTCTACTGTCAGTTTTAGAACTATAATAAACTAATTCCAGTTTTTGGGAATAAAATTATAAGATCAAAAAATGGGATCATTATGTGCTATTTAAAACGTCCTTGAAGCAACATTTAAAATGTATAATTTATTATTTTGACTTGATTTTGAATTTGTATGCATTAATTGGGCATAGCATGCACATATTTGATTGGTTATAATATTAATTTTGCAACTAATGTGTATGTAAGTTAACATAAGTACGATTACGGAGTACTCCGGCTTCCATACTCTCCAAGTAGGGTCGCCAAACCTACTATATATTATAATATAATGCAAGCCAGTTTCCGAAAAGTCTATAGTATCATAGACCACACACATGGCCTTTGACAGATTATACAGAAGACGAGGAGTATAATCGGCCGTTATGTCAGAAAACTACGACGATTC